ACTTTTCAAAAAAAATGCTGCATGACAAGCCCATTAACTATACATTTACAAAATATGATTAAACAACAGGGAAAAGAATGAAAGAATGAATGGAAAAAGCACAGTCCATCCATAAATAAATAACTACTGTACAAGGATCGACATCAAAGTATATTCATCCAAAAAAGCGCTTTTTGTATGTATTTCATATTCTACAATTCTCTTTGCAATAACGATTATATTCGCTTATGCTTTACTACAAAATATACTCCAACTTTTGAAAAAAAAAGGATTCGCTGCGATTCCGTACGTTTACGCACGTTTCAAATACGTTAGCGCAAGTAAAGAATGCGCGACAAATACGTTAAATAGCGACTTTTAAAGTCTATTATAGTTTTGAATGCTGAAAGCGCATACCTACACAAATGACCACGAGTGCACTATATTGAATACAGAGTTACGCGCTTTCAAAGAGTACKAGTTACAAAGCGACGATTCAAGAAAGCWATAATGACCGAGTTACGGTTTTCCCGTCGAGTCAAATGTCCAAAAACAGTTGATTAAATCTATGATATCTCCTTTTGAGTATTTCTCGACTATTTAATCGCTTGCATTCTTGTTGTATCGTCTTGTTTGTGCACATTTTCCTACAATTTTTTACAAGCTACCAGTCTATCTTCTTCTTGTTTTTAAATAATGAGGTTAAAGTAAAACTGAATGAACGTGAYATTTCAGTTTTGGTTACAAAAATATATCCTATAGACGGAGAAAGTACTGCGTTGCATGTGCTGTAAGCTGACATTTTCACATATAAATACAAAACTAATAACTAATAATTAATTACTAATACTAGTAACACCTAACTATCAATGTTATAGATGCGGTTCAAGCTCTCAAAYTTACGACCCCAGCGTTGCAAGAAGTCAAAACTCTGCTCGTCGTCGTCTTCTTCGTTATCGCTGTCRCCCAACTCGCTCAGATCATCAACATCAGAATCGTCGCCTTCATAGCGGAACATGTGAAGCGAGTCGTGTGCGATAAAGTATTCACCGTTCGCTTCTCCAACCCGCTGATTAATGAAATTCCCGACATCCATGCTATCTGGGTTTATGACACGACGCCTTGTGATGGTCGTTACGCCGAACTGCTGTCCGTTTCCGTTAAATGCTCCTTGTAGTAAAGGTTTGTCCTCGGCAACTGTGATGTTTTCTTCAATTCCATTACCATTACCACCRCCRCCRCCGCCGCCTCCATATCCCGCACCGCCACCTTTACCATACCCCCCACCGGCACCATATCCATACCCCCCACCACCACCCCCTTCGACGTACGTGTATTTCATGAGTTGKGTTATGTCGTAGCCAAAGTTGTCTTCTTCGCCAGCGCCGTCGTCGTGGTACGGACGAATGTTATCGTGGACGTGTCCGTCTTCGAGTGTGACTGGGACGACTGGAGGTGGTGCACGTTTCTTGAGGAAGACGAAGAGCATGATGGCCAGGACCGCAAATACTACAACTAAAATAAGCGCTAAGACGCCGGGAAGGATCATTCTACTGCCTGGTCTTTGACCTAATAGGAGGAAATTGACAGTCGTATTTAATCGATTGATTGATTGGTTGGTTGGTTGGTACTAGAATTAACTTTTTTTAATAAGGAAGAGAAGAGTCGGGATGGAAGGAAGAGTCGGGATGGTACTTTAGTGGGTGCTTAAGTGCGTTTGACAGTGTACTGTACTTCGATATGGACARGTCAACATCTTCCGCACTTACCTGCATTAGGTTTTGTTACAACGGTTTCACACCGCGTACCAATGAAACCAGGTGGACAAATACAGTATGGCGGGTCACCATTAACGCAACTACCTCCATTCTTACAGAAACCAGTCGTACAAGGACACCCTGGGTCAACATTTTGCCTACGGATATCAACCGCATCATCTTTGTCTAAATCTACACCATTAAATCGATTGGATGCCGTGCAGCCTCCAAAGTCCCCAATAACGGCAACTGGTTTAGATTCGCTAGTTGCASTGCCTGTCTCTAACGTCCAGGGGATTCCGCCTCCATATGTGAGGATTTGTGTACCTTTGACGTTATAGATAGGGACGCCRTCGATGTACGGACCCGTGGAAGGGTATTTATTCTTRATAACATTGCCTTGAGCACCAATAGCAGTTCCAAATCCAGAGACGGTGCGTCGGCCATTATAAACCTGAAAATGGAGATAGCTGGATGATTACTGAARTGAGTGGAGAAGGAGTGWGTKGAGMAAGACACTWGYGACTTAATAAGTGAACGGACAGGGAGGCTATGAAGCAAGTGTTAAAGGAAAAGAAGCGGCGATGGAAGCAAATTAACAAATGAAGAACTTTCCATTCTGCTTAAATCAGTGCTTCCATCTCCCCCTACTACATGTACGTGCAAAATGGCTTAACAATCACTTCAAATTGTGGAATGTACTTTATATAGAATAAAAATCCCTCAAGTCTTTCATCATCATCATCAACATATATCTACATTTATATTATAGCTCATGCAATTCTAACACGCGCGCTGATTGGTGGATTTCATGAGAAAAGCTATGATTTATTTCGCCGGTAAACCAGCCTGCTGTCTTGAAAGAGTATGAGTCTAAATGGCGGACGCCGACTTTAATATAAAAGCAAAAAAGAAAGATTGAAGAGGTTAACTGGCGAAATAAACCGCTTAGAATGGTTGTGCGGACACTTGAAAAGGTAAATCACTCGCCTTTTTTTCTCGTGTTCTCACAACCATCCCGCGCGGTTTTTTTCGCGAGTAAACCGCTTCAATTTATCGCTTATTACTTAAATAAACAATTCTACTTACTTCAACGATTTCTTTTCCATCTTKAGTCGTCTTGTCGATACTAATTCCCCTAACTCCCATCCCACTAACAAACAATCCTCTCGGGTCAGAAAAACTATCAACAACAGTCTTTCCTGAAGGCATCACAGTGATCATYGTAGAGGTCAACCCGGTACCAAAGGACATTCCCCCGCTACCATCTGTACCAATACCACTTGCCAACACCCTGCCATCAGCAGTTCTAAGAACAGTATTCCCACCACTACGAACAATAGCTTCAATGACACGGACCTCAGTGATGTTGGGAAGACCACCAGAGAAGAAGCTGCCACCGCCCATGTTCAGAAGCTTATTGATACCCCCGGTRTTGCCGGCCACTAGACCGTCGTAGTCAATTTGCATCGAGGCATAGTTTCCTTCTCGTTTGACGACTACTGTGTGGTATTTGCCATCAGTGATGTTCATTTGTGGGATGCTGAGGATCTTCAAGCGGTCGCCGAGCCGGAATATATAGCGAAGAACGCGATCTTTAAGCTGAAATGCGGAAACATTTGATGTTGYTTATAATCATTTTATAGCCAATTGAAACTGAAGAATACTACACTCATCTCTCGCCTTCTGGACGACCCGACATTCCGGATACTCGAATGAAATCACTCACATAATAACTATTTACAACAGACACTCGCTATATCGCGGACACTTAATTAAGGCCGTTTGACAGAAGTGATTTTTGCTGCGATCTTTCATGTGATTTTCAGAAATATAACAGATTCAGTCTTATCATTCTGAGGAGACGTTTAGGTATCTCATCTCAGTGTGCTGAATAAAACTTAACAATTAAATTCTAGAGCGTTATTCACTAGCCTCAAAATGACCGAAAAAATCGCCATTGTATAGGGACCTTTACGGTTCCSATTGTGCCCGTTATAACGAGGTTTGACTCTATACTTACATCAATTCGGTTAAACTCGGTACCAAGAGAGTTGGACGAAAGGAAGATCACACAGTTCTCCATATCTCGATCTATTTTGACYTTCAAAGCGATGCTTGTGTAAAATTCATTGGTCAGCGATTTAGGGGGTTGAACCAGGTCTCTTCTTGCACGGGCAGAGTTAAGTAGATACTGCGAAAAACTGTTTGCTTTGTAGTAGTTAGCTGGGCTTCCTGTGGTTGAAGTACATGGACTTACGTTAATAATAATGATGATAATCGCATGATGGATGGCAGTTTTATGATGTTGACTTAAGAATGATGACAACGGATGATGATGATGGAACGTGATGATAATACAAAAATTGTTTATTATATAAGAATAATATGCCATTGGTTTAGAGTGATTGAAAATAATCGTGTTAATAACAATGAATGGTCATGATGGTGGTGGTGATGATGATGATGGCGATGATGACGACGACGATGATGATGATGATGTTGGTGATGATGATGATGATGGTGATGATATAATGATGATGGTGATGATGGTGATGATGATGATGATGGTAATGATGATGGTGATGATATAATGATGATGATGTTGGTGATGATGATGATGATGGTGATGATGATGATGACGATGACGACGACGATGCTGATGATGATGATGATGCTGATGGTGATGATAATAATGATAACCGGTACACTTACGTGCGGTACAATCACTCCCCATATAACCAATATCACAGACACAGATGCTTTTCTTTAAGCCAGGTTCACAATAACCATTGTTATTACAATTTGGACACGTCGCAGCAGGCTGGCAGCCTGTCACCGAGTTTACAACCTTCAGAGGCTGGTCCTGAAGGTCGTACATTGTTTCGTAGTCGATAATTTTTCTTATGCATCCGTCAAAGCCTTTTGTTTTGACGCCAAGCCACGATACATCTGTGTCTACACCGCCAATTTGAAGAGGGCCAAAACCATTAAGATACCTTGATAAATAATGAAGAAATACACATCAATGAAGTGAATCATTGAAAAAATTTAAGGAACAATTTCCAGAACGCTTTATGAAAAAAAGTAGATATTTAAGGTATAACATTTAGGTAAGTACAGTGATAATCACCAACATCAATTAGCTTAGAACATGGAAATTATCTAGTTCAATAAGTATAAGGTATTTGAAGAAGTGATTGCTGTGGCTACTTTAGAAATTCAAACCGAAGCACGTATAGATAATTTAGTAATTTAATAGCGGAAGCTAGAAAACCTGCAACTTCACACTAATCATATATGATGATGATGATGATGATGATGATGATGATGATGATGATCATAATTGTAACAAAGCATAAGAACGATGTTCTGTACTTACGTTTTTTGCCCGAAAACCTTTTTGGAAGCTTCACAATTGTCCCTATTCTCAAAGACCCGTCCATTCTGTTCAACTATGGTCGCCTTTTCGCATCTATCGATGATCAAACGAACAAGCTACAAAAAGAAACGAGCGGTCAGTAAGTCAAACATTGTACAGAGCTTTCAATAAACGTTGCCTATCTGAAAATAGTTGATATGAGACCGATAAGCATTATGGTAATGTGTAATACTGCCGAATACCGAAGTATAATCAAGTCTAAACTACAAAATGATGACTAATCACAAGAAATTCCCCGACGTTTATAGCTTTAATTCTAATCGACAAACGCATGTATCGAAGAGGGAATGATTAGTTTACCTTTCTGTCAACCATGTCCCGTTTAATGGTTACAACATGCCATTCTTTGTCGTCTAGACGAGGTCCTTTGGTTACACTGATGGTGGTGGGTTCAGACCCAAAGGATACCATCATGACCACGTATCCACCTTGTAGAAAGACAGCAAGGAAATCTTTTTCGCCGTTGTTTCCTCCTTTAAAAAAGAAAAAAAATTAATATTGAATATTTCTAGTGATAAATATTCAATATTCAATATTAATGACCATAATAATAATAATAATAATAATAATAATGATTGATGATGCTGATGATGTTGGTGATAACTATGTTGATGATGATTTTGAATCTGCTAATGAAGATCACGATAATTAATGCTGATAATGATGATTGATGATGATGACAATTATGATTATAATGATGACAATGATGGTGATGATGATGATGAAGATGATGATAATAATTATGATGATAATGACAATGATGATGATAATGATGATGATTATGATGATAATGGTGATGATGATAATAAAGATTATGATAATAATGATAATGGCAATGATGATAATGATGATGATGATGATGACAATGATGATGTTGATAATGATGATAATGACAATGATGATGACAATAATGATGATTTTGATGATGACGATGATAATGACAGAATACCTTCTTTCAAAGGTCCTTGATACAGCATAAGTCCATCAGGCTTTTCAGTCATAAATTCAAAGCTGATATCCCTGAGATCATAAGCAGATAGCTTAGGCAGCCATATCAACGAGTTTCCATAAAAKGWTCTYGTAGTGACTTCACAATGCGGTCCACGGTATTCTCTTGCACACTGGCATAACATGTAGCCGTACGGTACTGAGTCATGGCAAGTACCCCCGTGACGGCAGGGATTGCTGGTTGCGCACTTCCCCTGGGGGGTGATGACCGAAACGTACTTGTCCTTTAAAGTTACATCCATGGACACGACTGATATTGAKGAAGTTGGCGCGGGTACTTTACCGTAATCACCGCTGGCCACTGTGCATTTGGATGAGGGCTCAATTTCGTTGATACATTTACCGACTTTCCTTTTTTCCATAGCGCATGCGTCTATTCCAATTGAGCCTACCTCGAGTCCTGTGAATGACATGAATTTGTTATTTTAAAAGTTTTATATTGGAATATCATATATTATATAATGTCATTTTTTCACGGTTTTGAGTTCTCCTTTTATTGACACTCTTGACGTCCAGGAATCTTTCTTCAAAACCNCATAGCGCATGCGTCTATTCCAATGGAGCCTACCTCGAGTCCTGTGAATGACATGAGTTTTATATTGGAATATCATATATTATATAATGTCATTTTTTAACGGTTTTGAGTTCTCCTTTTATTGACACTATTGACGTCCAGGAATCTTTCTTCAAAACCCAAGTGGATCCTCGAGCGCAAGTACATTACGTTCTGCTCTCTATTACTTCACCATAATCGTCAACAACAACATCATCAACATCAACAACAAAAACATCAACAGAACAAACACAAACAACAACATCATCAACAACATCAATAACATCATCATCATCAACAACAACCACAACAAACACAAACAACAACAACATCAATAACAACATCATCATCAACAACAACCACAACAAACACAAACAACAACAAACACAAATACAAACAACATCATCATCAACAGCAACCACAACAAACACAAACAACAACTACATCAATAACAACATCATCATCAACAACATCCATAACAACATTATCAACATCATCATCAACAACAACATCAACAACAAATACAAGCAACAGAAACAACAACATCAATAATAATAACAATATCATCAACATCATCATCAACAAAAACATCAACAACAAATACAAAAAACATTATCATCATCAGCAACAACAAACATTAAAACACAACAACAAAGATGATCGAATCTACCTACCTATATTATTAAACTCCTTCTTTTTTCCACTCAGATTATTAATGACATCCAAAGGCTTTACATACGATCCTCCCTTCTTTGCAGCGAAATGCACATTGACTGCCATGGAATTATTCGTTGCCTTCTGAATGCTAAACATCTCAATACTCGCTTCAAGGAAACTGCCGATCAAGTCCACAGTTTTTTCATAGTAATCGCCTACAAAATACTCCACCTTTCGTAGATTCAGGAACTGTAAAGTTACGCCAYTCTTGACCGCATCGGGATCTACTCGGCGTACGGAGACGCTGATCATCGAGCGRACAGACTTGGTGTTAGAACCTCGGTTGGTTTCGGTAATTTTAACAGAGAGAGTGTATCGTCCCATTGGGATTTCTTTATCGGCTGTCATTATACCAGTATTTGGATCTATCTTGAAGTAGTTACCAGGTTTTTGAGTTTCGATCGTATAGGTATTGACGTCGCCGTCAAAGTCGTTGTCTTGATAGTACGGTTTTCCTATGCTACCACAAAGGAATTGTCCCTTAAAGGCATTAACAACGATCTTGAGAGACCCATCAAATGGTTCATTATCGTTCTCGTCCTCTACATCAACGTAAACGTACGTAAAGTTTGATTTTTTAGGATTTCCGTTATCAACAGCAGTAACGCCAATCTTCCACGTACTTTTCTCTTCGCGGTTGAAGCGGCCGTAGGAGTTCATATTGGAAGTGACGTCCTTCAAAGTCGCTGGCTCGACGAGCTTGAAGTTGTCATTAACAGTACCGTTGTAGATCGAGTAGGTGAAGGGTTTCCCGTTTGCCGTAGTATCGGGATCGTAAGCGCTCAGACGAGTCACAAACTGTGCATTGTCGATATTTTCTTTGATTTTTCCCTCGAAATATGGAGGCACAAACCAGGGTCCATTGTCGTTCACGTCGTCTATGGTGATCACTGCTCTCGCTTTGCCCTGAAGTCCACCAGTGTCTGTAGCTGTGACTTCAAGTTCACTGACAGGGGTTGTCTCTCGATCGAGCGGAAGGCGGTTCTTGATCAAACCAATGTTGGGATTTTTAGAATCGGGTACGATTTCATACAAATCGGTTGGATCTCCTTTAGTAATCGAGAAATCAAACTTTGCATTATTACCGCTGTCTGCATCTGATGCCGTCACCTTGACGATAACKGTWCCCACTTGGAYGTTCTCTGGGACGGATTTTTTGTATTCCTTCGGTGAAAAGACCGGCGGGTTGTCATTTGTGTCTGTKACGGTGATGATGACTTTGGCTGTTYTGTCTGCTGCCAGTACTGGAACTCCTCTATCAGAAACTTTCACAGTCAATTCATAGGATCGTTTTACTTCAWAATCGATAATACCAGATACGTGAACAGTACCGTTATATGGATCGAGGTAAAACACGTGAGGATCGTTTCCACTTTCGACGACGTATTCTAAYTCGGCGTTAGGTCCKGTATCCTTATCCGTRGCACTGACAGCTGCGATGCGGTACCCTGGTGGCGCATGCTCAGGAACTGTACCCCGGTAGACGSTTTTGGTGAACTCTGGTTTRTGATTGTTACCGTCAAGAATGAATATAGTAGCATCTCTTGTAGCGCTCTGTGGATTTTTACCCTGGTCTGTAGCGCGTACAGTTATAGTTAAAGGCGACTTGTCTGTATCACGATTGAATACTTTGAGGCTCGAAACGAGCCCTGTGTTTGGGTTAATCTTGAAGCTATTGCCCGCGTTGTTCGTAAGATCGTAYTTGATGTCTGCATTACCGCCGGCATACTGAAAGTCATCGTCAACAGCTTGGACGTACATGACRCTGCTCCCTGCTTTTACATTCTCAAGTATGTAGCCGACGTAAACCTGATCGTCTGGGAATCGAGGCGGCGAGTCATTTATATCAGTTACATTGATTTGTACTTCMGCCTTTCCTTTATACTGGCCGTCACTCGCATACACTTCAAACGTCATCAGTGGAGTCTTTTCACGGTCTAATTTTGTACTTCCRGTTTCGATGATCCCGGCGAATGTGCTTCCGGTCTTCTCGGTTCTGATAGTAAAGAATCCCTGAGCACTTGATTGAAGACTRTATGTTATTGCAGTGCTATCCACGTCCGTTGCAGTCAGCCGAAGAACAAACACTCCTTCTCGTKTACCTTCAGCGACTTTCGTTGCGTACACGGGGTTTTGAAACTTGGGTGCCACATCGTTAATGTTGCTAATCTGAAATATTAACACTTGTATTAAGATGAGTGCAATTCATGTCATAAGCACGTTGTGGTACTGAAGTGTGAATGTGTGTTGTGTTTAGAATGTCATGTTGTAGTAGGGTGTATTGTAGTAAGAATGGTATGTTGTGGTATGGTGTATTGTAGTTAGAATGGTATGTTGTGATATGGTGTATTGTAGTTAGAATGGTATGTTGTGGTATGGTGTATTGTAGTTAGAATGGTATGTTGTGATATGGTGTATTGTAGTTAGAATGGTATGTTGTGGTATGGTGTATTGTAGTTAGAATGGTATGTTGTGATATGGTGTATTGTAG